TCCCTCCACACACACACATATATATATATATATATGTATACCATTTCATATAATTACGAGTATAATTAGTTCAATGACTAAATCTCACTCATGGATATTTGCTTCTATATATTCTTTAATTATATAAAAAAATTTGTCTTCTCCATACATCACATGCATTAATCAGAGCAATTCAAGACATGTTAAGATACCGAAAACCCAACAAAGAGAAAATACGTCCGTTAAAACAAATCTGAGCGTAGAAACTCTGCATAAGTCCTCAAAGTTGTAAAAAGATATTCAGTTTAGTCTAATAAAGTTTAGCGATGTTCTGGGATCTCCATAACCTAAATAATCCCCAAGTGTCGTTAGTTTCACATGTACAATCGCAATGATTGATGTTAAATGGTTCTGCTTGGTGGAAAATTGATTCAAAAAATTATCTTTACTAATCTTAATTTAATCACTGAACTCTTGTGAAACCAAGATAACAAAAAAATCTTATATAGAAAAGCTAGCTTCAAAAGCAGTGAACATTTTGGTGCCATTAGATGATGGTGATGGACCACATGCTTCCAAGATGTCTGACCTCACAAGACAACTTATGATGTTTCGTATTTTCCTTTTGGAGGGTTGGGGGCTGAACTTAAACCAGTCAGGACGTTCTTCGTGAAAATGGTAAAAAATTTGCAACTTGATTGGAGAAGGAGATATGAATATATGCAGTAAATTAAAACAGCTCTTCAACTATAGCTTGCAGTGTCACATGCAATACGTACGTACGTACTACGAACAGTTTAGCTGCATGCATGTGCATCATGCATCTGCAAAGCAGTGGAAAGTGTTCCAGAGAATGGGAGCAGCCTATCGTGGCAGAGTTGCTAATTTCTATCACAAATGAAAACCAGCCACACAATATTACAATTCGATGGATATTTCAACTGTTGAAGAATGCAGATCAAAATTAGATTGCACGGACAGTTGTACATGCATTATAACCTATACAAATATAAACAGTTTCATTGAAATTTAGTGCACCTGCAACTCTTCTCTGTGTATATACTGTGTCTAAAAATCTGATCACAGGACAACCAGCTCGTCTGAGGGAGAAGGAAAACGTGTAAATCACAGGGATATATAGCACTGTTTTGTTATAACCAACTAATCACGTTCCGTCACGAGTGATAAGGATTTTACATGACAAAGCATGATTGAACGGGAATAGCAAAATACGTAATATGCAAGTTTCTTCTCCAGAGACTGAGAGAGACTTGTTGTACTGCTCTTTTCACTCATAAATTCAAAAACATTGCTTACTACTTTAATTAAAGTTTAAAAGTAGTTCTGAGGGAGACTTTGGTGTGACCCAACTGGACGAATTTTTGAATATTTTTTTAAAAAAATGAAAATGAAAACACAATTAGTAGTCTCTGGCTGTTGAAGAATGTGAAAGTACAGCATTCCCATATGCAAGAATGTCATGGTGGTACGTATAGAAGATAGAGTTGGTCATTTGGACTCAAAAATTCAAAACCCAACTCACTTGTTTACTACTTTACGTCTACCTTTCACGAATTAATAAATTATTGTTTTTCCTACTCTTCTCCTACTCTAAGAAAAAAAAATTCAACCAATGAGATGACTTGTAAAAATTTGAACGATCCTAAAATATATGGCCAATACAAAAAGACGATGCATCATTTCGGATTAGACTTTGGTGGCAAAGCTGGACGACTTTTGGGTCTTCAAATCTTGAAAGGAACGAACCGTTGCAAAACAATACACAAAACAAATGTTTAAATTTTTTTTTTTTTTTCTGTCATGATTTCTGCAGCCATTAGCCATTTGTGGGTACCCAAATAGCTGCCATTTTCATTTTTTGACCACAAATACACACATACAGACCATATCATGGACTCTGAGCAGAGCTCTCACGTGGTGGTTGGGGCCCTTTGTCCTAATTTCTGACTTCATCACAATGACTTCGCCATTGAAAAACAGAACCCTCCTTCTGGTTTTTTTTTGGGTACCAAGACTGCCTAATTTGTCATGACATCTTTGTTCATACCCAAAAATTATATAAATGTAAGCAGAACCCTCATATTATTGACTGTGAAGTATAAAAAATGTTGGGTTCAACAATTTGTGTGTAAATAAATAATTTATAGTTACTGCCGATCAGTAACTTAAATCTTGTAGAATCATATTGAATATTTGACGATACATGCTGTGTTATTTGGTAAACGAATGAAATTCGTTTTCATGATAAAAAAAATTTAGAAAATTTTCCTAAAAGTCTAACTTCGTTTTGATTAATGTGTGGCTGCAGTTTGCTGGCATGCATTGTACAGTACTCAATTATATGTTCACTATCCAATATTGTTTGTTTATCCTGAATGGATTTTTAGAATCTCTTCTATTTTTATTTTTTTTAAAGAAGAAGAATCTAAATCCATAGTATTCACATGATATTCAAATTTAACAATGATGTAAGCCAAACAATTTATGATAAGCCTCATATTATTGACTGTGAATTATAAAAAATGCAGGGTGCAACAATTTTGTGTGTATAATTATAAATAACTTATAGTGACTGCCGACAAGTACTATTTACTATTTGGTAAACGAATGAAATTGGTTTTCATGATAAAAAAATTTCAAAAACATTCCTAAAAGTCTAAATTTGTTTTGATTAATGTGTGGCTGCAGCTTGCTGCATGCATGGTACAGTGTTACTGGTACTCAATTATATGTTCATTATTCAGTATAGTTTGTTTATTGCAAACTAGGAGTTGGTTGAGTTGGTAAAAATCGTTATCTTTACTATTCAGGCATGAGTTTGAGTTATGTTGCCGACAATCTTTCTTGATGGGTAATCTGTAAAAACCCAAAAAAGGGCTAAGACTCCATCTGTAAGTCTTCAAAGAGATCTTGATATGTTCTGACTCTGAGATGAGGTAGTATTATTTCCCTCCACCTAAACTTTTCTATACTCAAAAAAAAAAATTATATAGTTTATTTGATCAATTTTCATAAATAATAAGGTAGAAATTTAAGACGACGTCCCACTAGTCGTTGCTTGATTGATTGATAGGGCAAACAGGAAAATTACCGTTAAACAAAAGTGATTATAATTATAGGATCCTTTTCATACGTGCTGCTAGTGAACTACTGCTGCTGCTGTGATTAGACAGAAAACAAAAACAAGTTGTAAAATTTAAATGATTAGACCCCAACATCTCAGATATTCTCTTGCTTTCGGTTGTGCGTGTAAATCATTTGTGTTCTTTGTTTGCTCTGCTTTACAAGCCAAAAATGAAAGTAATTTATACCATCACTAAAGAATAAAAATCACATCATGATCATGATGTATAATTTGGCAGGACTGCTTTGGGACTTGAGAGGATCTCTAGTTCTGGACTTCTTCTTCCCCAGAATCCTTCTGTGTTTTGTGTATTGATGCAAATTTCTTCTACTGTAGATGATCACAGATTATTTTAATTATCATCTGACGACCTTTTGGGCCAGAGGATCTCCATTTTTTTGTTTTTTTACTTTGTTTTTTTTTTTCCTTTTGTTTTGGACTGGCTACATTTGTAGGGCACATGATGGGTCAGAGTCCAGGTCTCAATATGATGGTTCATGTGTCTGCAGTCCTTGCCATGTAAGCTCGTCCTCGTGTTTGGATGAGGAAAGAAACTACAAGATAATGAGACAACTGGTAAACAACTGAGCAGGCAATTGGGTCCGGTCAGCTAAGCTCCGATTTCATGGGTGGATTTGGGTTGCATTTGGTAAACTCGTGGGCTGGGGTCAATAGGCCTCTAACAGGCAAGCTGGTAGGTTCTAGGTTGATGGGCCCTTAGCGGGTCAACACATACCAAAAGTGTTTCGGTCACACTGAAAAATTATTTATTTTTATAAAGAATCTCCTTCATAATTGTTTTGAGTGCACAACAAGGAAAAGTATGACAAACACAATGTGGAAAGTGATGTACCCCTGTTTTCTGTTGTTAGGGTTGCTAAAAGCCTACCATTATGACAATGAGTTTGTAGTTCAAGTGATTAAGAGTATGCATCCATGCATCTGATGTCCTAGGTATAAAATTTGAAATTGAAAAAAATGGCCTACCATTATTTGCCAGCTTAGGAAATACAGGCTTCAAAATATAAAAAGCCCAACAAAGCAAAAGGGTAGGAAAGGTGAGAGGGAGCTTGGACTGGTCAGCAGAAGATGGTAGTTCAGTGATTGGGACAGATTGTCTGATCATAAGCTTATGTGATTAGGATTTAAAAAGGGGTTAATCCTGGAAGGCCTTGTAACATTAGCACAAAAGGCTATTTCCATCAGCCAAAACAGAAATAAATCAGTAAAAACCTCCATACGTTCATGTCCCTAGGAATGACAATCATTGATAATTATGCCTTATTCACATATGATTTGTAGGAGATTTCATGTATTTTTATAAGTATAATCGGAAAATTAGGATGAACCAAAAGCAAATTAAGAATGGCATGAAACCAAAGGTTGATGTGTCCCAAATGAGTCAAATTTCAGAGTCAGCTAGCAAGCCATGTCTGAGACACACTTCTAAGGCAACCAAGTTTAGAGTATGGGACAGGTGGAGGCATTTAAGGCAGAAACCTTGTAGGAGACTCCAATAGGAAGCTTGGAAACACAAGAAGTGACCAAAAATGGTAAAAGAAGAAACCCCACTAGTGAGTGTGTAACTATTGCAATTTCCAAAACACACACACAAACAAGAGTAGAAAACCAAAAATGCGTCTTGAGGCAGAAGGAACAGGATCACAAAGGGATGCTATAAGGGGAGAGCTTTTTGTAGAAGTGTGAAAAGCAAATCTGATTGGTAGGGTGGCTCCTTCTGCTATAAGATAAAGAGGTTTGACAAAGACACGGCACCAAGAGAAAAATGTGATCCGCATGATAGGAATTGTAAAATTGTCTTAGAAACAGTGACTTCAAAAAACTTCACCCTTGTCTAAGCAATACCTACATTTTATCTCATACCCTGTCTTATTGTTTATTTCATTCCCTAGTGTTTCACCCACATGAGCCACACCCTCTTCTCCAAATGGGGTGGCTGCACTCCCTCTTCTCTCCTTTGAAGAAGCTGTGGTTTCGCCTCCATTCAGCTCCGAAGAAAAGTAAGTTCTTTTAGTGATCACTCACTCCCACCCTGCAATTTCCCAAACTTCAGCATGCAAAATTGCACATGCTTAGTTCCAAATCAATGAACACATCCTGCATTTCCCTCCATTTTTTAGTCTATCTCACAATCTCAATCTATTTGCTTTAAAACTGTTATGCGAGCGCATGGGCACGCATACACAACAAAAACACAATTTTCTCATTCATGCATATACTTCTTCTTCTCTGTTTCCTTCCTTTCTCTTCTCTCCACTCATTCATCAAGAATCTATACAGAATATATACCAATTTACAGACTGCTTCCTCTTGGATGTGCATAATATTTATACTATCTTGAATCATTTGGCCTTTGTTTGTAGCAGGAAGAGGGATATACATTCTGTATGAGGATGTAAAATCCTGCCCCTATGAGGATGTGCATGTCCTGTGGTCAATACTAGTGGAGGCACATACACATACACCTTCTTTGCCATCAAAAAGCATGAGCGAAGGCCCAAATGTTCTTCACAGTATATGAGAGAGTTCCAGCCAAGTATATACAATATTTATGTTTTAATGTTTTATACTGGTGTACATGTAAAAAGGTTTTTACCCCAGTTTTTTTCCTTTTTTGGTGTTCTGTAAATGTAATACATTAAAATATATGCTTTTCTTGAGTTTTTGAAGCGCTCCAAATCTGAATGAATCTTTCTTCTACATCATGAGATATGCTGTATGCTTTAAACTTAAGTTGCAGAGAAGCCTTGCCCAAATCAATGGTAGTTTTTAGTTGTTTTCTATTTCTTTCATATGGTTTGTTTTTGTTGTTTTGTCTATTTCAGTGGTTGAGGTGGCTGTTTTTGTCTCTTCAGTTTGTCTATCAAAGAATGGATTGGACACCTGCATGATTTACATGTCTTATATAAAATGTTTTGGAAAAGAAAATATATCATCCACATCGAGTAGTTTGTCATGGCAAAAATGTCAAGCAATCTTTAATAATGTGACTTATTGGCTTTGATTCTAGAAAATCAGTGAACTTAGATGACATCCCCTTTAAAAGGCGATAAACAAAACAAATAAACAAGTCTATAATTTGGCACATAATTAACGTTTAGAGGCACTCAGTCTCCACTTTATTGCATACTATTTTCAAAAATGCAAAATTGAGTCAATGTTGAGCCCGGATAACATTTCAAAACCTCAGCTAAGATTTTGTGTGTGTGTCCACTTTTGCACATAACTAAATTTTTTCAAACTCTCATGATCCATTTTTTAAGTATAAAAATCTATATTTTTAATTATTGATGGAAAATATTAATTCCAGGCCAATAGTAATAGGAAATTTGTTGAACGTCGGTGTCCTCTCTGACCAAGTCCATGAATTATTGAAAAGAGTTAAAAATAAATAAATAAATAAAAACTCTGTAGTTGATTGTTTTATGCGTGACTCGAAAGCTAGAGGACCATTTCTTGGAGGAAGAGAGCTTGAGACTTTACAATTTTTGCTGTTTTGTGCGTTGGAAACATAAAGGCAGCGACAAGCAACTTCATGCCACTAGATATTTGTTACTAAACTTAGATATTTCACAACTTTTTTTCTTCCACTTTGGGGATATCCAACTTCAACACGTTTTCTAGGGTATGACTAGCCACCAAAAGTCCCTATCCTCCTATCCTCTACTTACTTCAAATGGGGAAGTTATGAACCATGGAAGTCAATAATAAAAGAGAGAATGAATGAGTGTGGAATTGAATTACGGATTTGTATGTGAAACTTACATAATTTTTTCTTATCTTTTTGTGTTAATAAACACATGAAAAGTTAGGAATTTGAATAATTTAATATCCATGTATTAGTAAAAAGTGAGAAATTGAAATAATCCCAATACTCTAGGGAAAAAACTATTAAAGACTCATCTCAAATAAATAAACATGCTATAATATTGTTACCTGAATTGCTTCATTTAGAAAGAAAAAAAGCGACAAAACTTACTCTAATTAACATCTGCTCACATTAGAGTTCTAGCAAATTTTCCACCCTAAAGAATAACAAGCCTAATTGTCAATAGGGTATAGTCTTCCACTTTTGTCATGTGGGCAGAGGTTCCAAACCCTCGCTTGTACTGAAAAAAAAAAGGAAGGGACTACTTGCCGACAAGAGTTTTCTTTTTAAAATAAAATAACAAAAGATCGGCAACTCGGCAATTGTATTGCTCTTGTCGGCAATTAGTGTTGTTGCTGATTTCTTGTCATGAAGGCTTTCAGCACCAATCCAAATTAGTTTGGTGGCTGACTTCTTCTTAGCAACTTAATGAGATGATAAAATTTCAGCCAAAACGTCCCCAATCCATACAAAACTTAAATATGACACCCATGAGGACTGCTACTAAATTAATTAATAGCTTAACAATACCACCATATAGAATAAGGGACCTATCATCTCGAAAATTACAGCATCATATTTTGAAAATTAGAATAGGGGATCCACCATATAGAATAAGGTTTATAAAACCCTTAATGAAGTTTAAAAAAATAATGTTTGAGTACAATTGAAAACCCTGTCAATCTGAATGCAGGGCAAAGCGTTTGAGATTGAAAAATCCCTTCAGAAATCCTGCACAAAATGAGCATTTCCTTTCAATAACAGGTAAAAAACTGGACATCAATGGCAATGAATTGATTTCAGGCAGGCACTTAAGGCATAGAACTCTTTCATACTAGTTCATAACAAGGGTGCAGAGACCAGGTTTCAATCATACAAGTACATATCATTTGCATAGAAAGGCTGTTCAAAATTAGTAAATACATGAAGGAAACTGAAACAAGTACAGGCTTTATCCCAAAACCTTACTGAAAGTTAAACTTATAAAGACTACCGTGTTATACTAACCAGATGCTTTAATAGCTTTATAAGGCCGATGCAGACAAGCGTTCAGCTACATTTGGCAGCCACTCTTTTAAGTAGGCATGGCAATCTATGTCAACATTAGACAAGGCACCAAGAGGAGTGACAGTAATCTGAAATTAAATTATGAGGACGTGTTAGTATGGACAAGCACTCTACAAAAATAAGTTTACCGAAATTACAAAAATACGCACATATCCTTCTTGAAGAGATCGGTGGTCACTATCATCCTCATCAACCGGGCCACTCCTTATCTACAAAATTGAAAACAGATCCTCAACATGATGCATGCAAATTAGGAAAAATTATGTCTTTCACTTAGGGCTGTTCTAAACGGCATCATGTTTGTACAGCTCATTCACTTGAGTCAACTACAATCAAGTATTTCCATCTCACACATTCCAACAAAATCAACTAGAAAAGACCTGGGGAGTGTTTGATAACCCAAAAGTTTGCTGAAATTGACAAGTCAGTACTTAATTAAGTGTGTTTTCAATTCTAAATTTAGCAGTGGTGTTTGATAATACCAAAATAAAAAGAAAAGAAAGGAAATCAACACTTAGCATGAAAAAAAATATAGGCAATTAAGAGTACTTTGAGCCTTGTTTGGTGCAAAATATAAAAGAACGCAATTTTATCATCCTTTCCATCATCTAAAATCTAAATCAAACTTAAACTGAATGTTATTTAAACCTTATACATTATTACCATAATTTCCCTCCTTAGTACCCTTGTTGTTGCAACTATTGCCAGTAAGATCCGTACCACCACCATCATTACCACCTCATGTTAGCCAAATCCTGTGTCTACTATCACATTGGCAACACTACCTTCACCAACACCACAACCGCCAAATTATCAACCTTTTTAAGCAATAACAAACACATCAGTTTTCCATCAAAATACCTCACTAGAACTGTTTTCAATTATTAACTGAAAAGTGTATACATTATGAATCTACCAGTTACTAGGATCCAAAGTGATTTTCTCTCACCTGAATGAATATTTAAACTATCTTTTTCCACAGAAAGGTCAATTTTGCTTTTGAATGACGAAGAAAAACCAAAATATAGACGGAGTATTTCTAGACTAGTTTCCAAAGAAGAACACAGAGTAATCCCCAACAGAGACACCAAACAATAGACTTCTTGATTATCTAACTCCTTCAACAACTCTGACTCAAGATTTCTCAATCAATTACCTTGCCAAACAACAAGCCAAAACTATAAAGTTTCTAAAGAAGAAATGATAAGAAGGTAGACAATAGATAACACAGGGGAATGAGAAAATAACGAGAAACATCCAACACTAATAATTTATCAGCATAAACAAAAAGCCCACTAGCCTTCATGCAGAAGTGAGGTAAGGCAAGGCAAATATTTATAAGTGAATACTAGAAGTGAGGTAGACAATAAATAACACAAAGGAAAAGGACCCACTTCTCTCGTGAACAAAAGATGTTCTGCTGATGTAGCTGATGTATTAATTTCTGTAGATGCTGTTGAATCTGTCTCCATTACCATTGTTGACAACATTTTTCCTCCCGCCTTGTCAGAAGTAACTTGCCTCCACCCCATTTTGATTAAACTTTTACCTTGCTTAGTGAGCTTATACCCCTATTAAGGCACAAGAAAAGAACAGAACAACATTACAAAGCACGTGTCAAAATCAATGCATAACAGAAGGACTAATCCTCTTGTCATAAAACTGGAAGCATTATCCTGGTAAATCACATTTAAAATATTATGGTAAAATGCTAACCTAGCCAGGCTTTCTAGTATAATTTTCATAATCGGAACAACCAAAAGTACGTTGAGGGAACACAGTACAGAAGTTAATACATTTAAGATGAACAAAATGTCTGGCAAAAAATTCCAGAGATGTAAATGTTCTATAAGGCTAACTTCCTGTTAGCCTCCTGGATTGACTACTGCAATTCGTAATATTAAAGGAGATTACATACCTTAACCATTTAACTAAGAGCAAACCAAACAACCTCATTGCATTTCAGTAAGACTTGCTAAAGGATATAGCATCGAAACAAACTGCCTACAAATCTTGCATTGAAATGGAGTCGAAGGAAAACAAGAAAAATACAAAGAGAGACCACGAAGGAAAGAAAATAAACTATTGATATAAATTACTTCTGTAATGAAATAGCCTTTATATGTAATATTACTGTGCTTATCAATGAGCTTTGTCTACTGTAGTATAGTCAATTTAAAAATGACTCACACAGACGAGCATATTGAAGAGGTGGAAAAGAGGAAGGACTGAGAATTAGGCATGCAAGTTTTAAAATTCATAAATTAAGGAGAAGATGAATCTGACGAAGGTCACTATACTGAATATTCCCGAAACACAGCATGCATCCTGAAATTTACCTTATGATTAGCAATATTTGCTGGCAGATCTATATTCAAGAAACAGTTTTGGGGATAAGTTTTGTTTCTTAATTCCGCTAGTACTCCATTTATGATAGGTAAGCAAGCCTCGGCTGAAAGTGTGAAGTCATTAATACTGCTCTTAGCTCCAACCCTGTAATGCCAGTATTCAATAGTTATGTACAAATGAATATTGTTCAACAAGCAATACAAGTATCAAACCTGTAGTGTATACATACCAATCATAGGATACAGAGATTGCAGGTACACCATTAAGAAAGGCCTCACGAGCACCAGCCACTGTTCCAGAGTAAACACTACATTTCCAAATACAGAAATCTTTCAATAAAGTTATGAGCAGAAACAGGCCAGAAAAATAAAACTGTATTTTGTGAGGACCAACAGTTGGATTAGTGATCCCACACGAGGGAACAAAACTAATTGGGTGAATTTTTAAGATTTCCTGAGAACATAGTATTTTAATCAATCATCATAGCTTTTAGGGGAAAGTCGAATAGACTGCCTCCTTATGATAAGTGTGTTTGGATATCTTATGCGAATAAAATCATTCTAGTTTCCTCACCACAACATCTGGTGGAAATCCAAATCTTTTCAAAAGCAACTGGTGAGTATAAAACTATATTGGTGTTCAACAAATACAAGATGATCGATAGTTTCACTGACCCAATTGAACTGGGATTTTTCAGAGTTCATACGGGGCATAGCTGGTACTAGTTACAGAAATCTTTCTGTTTAATTGCAAAAGTCTTGAGACAAAATCAGGATAACAAATTACAGGATGGAAATAGAAGAGGAAAAATTACTAACACGTGATAACCACAGTTGCTGCCCATGTTTATGCCACTGATTACCTGTGTGTAAAAAGTACAGGTAATTAGCAATCAGGAAAGAAAAAAAAACAGATAAGAAATGTGACCATGGCACTAGTACAGAAGGGAGAAATATTTACCAGGTCAGGAACTGAAGGAAAAAGCGTTTTGGAGATACCCAGGGAAGCACAATCAGCCGGACTTCCTGCAAAGTTGATCAAGAATAAAGATTCTTACTTTTTCATTTTTTGTGTTTTTGGCGCAAGGGGTAGTGACCATTTTGTCATAAAACGGGAAAAATGCTTATGTGGTTTTGTAATTTCCATACCAGAAACAGCATAGGCTGTTGCTCCATCAATATGCACTTGCTTGGCAGCAATTGGATGACGCCATGTGATGCAGTGACTCACAGCTGACTGTTCCCTGCAAACGGAAATGAAATTTTTTTTTCTATCAATAAACAAAAGACTCGAATGATTTGGGCAAAGTGAAGAATATTTTTAGTGTTTGATGGTTTTTAAGTAAATACGTATCAGGGGCGCAGACAAGAACATTGTAGCGACGGGTGGAGACGAGGACTTGAACCAGAGCCAGAAGTCCAGGACCTTCGATTCCGTCGTCGTTCGTCACCATCACTGTGGGCTTGTCGCCGGAGATGATACTGTTGTTTTCCATTTCCTTTTTTCTCTGAACTACCGTTTCGGAATTTTGGACCAGAAAAGACACATTAGAAACAGAGAGGTAGGCACAACATAATATACTTGAACTTTTTTTACATTTATCTTCATCTTTTACTTTTACTGATTAACTGAAATATGAGACTTTTAACTTTAATTTCTCTTCTTCTTCTTTTTTATAAATTCGACGGAAAATTCGAACTTCACACAGCTTTTCCAATGTTGTGAAAAGAAGTAGCATTACAAAATGTTTAAGTAAATTCGAACAATAAAAAAAAAATTAATTGTGATTTTTGAATTGTATGTATTAACCGTGTGACTCTTCTTCTTTTTTTTGTCGTAATTTTTCAATATTCGTTCAAAATCCTAATAAGAAAGAAACAAACATATAATACAATAGTCGAAAAGGCCAAATACATGAATAAAACACCACAAACACAGTGAATATTATATTAAAATCAACCCAGTTTAGTATAATAATCTTTCCCGTGTGACATTAGTAATATAACATTGATTGCATATCAACTAAACAATCTCCTAATGAAAATAAAATTTCAAACATTCTTCTATTATTAATTCATTTGGGCGGAAACATCCCTCCGCTATCAAATTCATAAAGAAAAAAGCTTAGAGACCAAATATAACCATTCCTCTATTAATTTATTTCTTTTTATGTGTTTGGTTGGCGTTACCATTTCTCTTTATTATTGATTGCCAGAAGGTAAAAAACAAAGAAAGGAGAGACAGAAAAGGACTAGAGACAAACCAACGGATTCCCGCGCTTAATGTAGCGTGCGGCAGCAGCTGCAAGTAGCGTCTAGATCTTTAATTTTCTACACATTTAATTTTGGACGCATCAGTTTTGGGGTGGTTTGATAAATTATTGTAGCCACTGCTACTACGAGCTGGGCTGGCTGACCACGACATCTAGTTCCTCTTCAAAAAGGCTGACAAACTCTACTCTCGTCCTTTGGCCCAATTTCATTATGGCTGGCTGCTTTTAGATGCACTTAACCACTAGTCTAGTTGGATTAGACAATTTATCAAAAATAGTCAAAATTTATCCTTCACTTTCAAAAATGTCAGTTTTTATAAAATCTTTCAAATATAGCCAAAAACTCACCTGAATAGACACAAATGCCCCTTAAAATTAAAACTCACATAAACTTAAAAAGAAAGATCATGTACAAACGAGATATGTTATCAAAGTATTGAATCTATGTGCAAAGACTGTTATCAAATACTTCGGGAACACACCCACTGTCTTTGTGAGAGCCGTCATTGCTTTATTTATCGCAGCAACCTGAGAGGAACTATCCATAAATATGACCAAGAAACTTAAAAACTTATATTAGAGACTAGTATTCAATAATTATTTTTGAATATTCAACTTATTGAAAAACTATCTTTCTTTCACACATAAAGGTCATATAATCAAATTTATAGAAAGCATCGTCATTGCATGAAATGAGGAGTGTCTCTGTGGGAGTTGATCAGGAACTTAATAACCATACCATAATGCTTATAGCTTGGTTTTCCAAATCACAAAATTGATAGAAAAATATAATAGTATTGAATCTATGTGCAAAGACTTTATCCTCACATGGGCCAAACCAAAAACGCTGCATCTCTACTGTATATCATCTCAAATCTACAAAAATTGTGAGGGAAAGCATGCTTTATTCCTCATCTTCAAAAGTTAACACCAAAAAATTTAAGAAAATTATAAAATTAAATATTCATCCATTATTCATACTAATTCATAAATTTGAATAGTTAAATATTGCACCTATCTACGAGGTAGGATGAAGTGCAATCCGATTCTTGCAAGTTTGTCGATAATGGCTGGTTGAACCACATCTTGAACACTTACGAGTTGATGGTTCTTCTCCGCGTGATGGGATTCTCTTTTCCTTGCGCCTGCCATACTTTTTTCGTATAATTGGTGGTAGGACAATTCTATTTCGTATGTCATTAGGTACCACCCAATCTGTCTGATCACCAACTAGCCAAATAGGTTTTGCATATGCAATGACCAATGAATTTGTAGTATAATATTGTGAACACATCGGGTAACATAAAATTTGTCGATGCCTACATGCAGCACAAGCATGTGCACATGGTAGTTGGTCAAGATCAAACTCTCGGCATGTGCAACACTTCCTCTCTAAATTTACAACTTCAACACGACATCCATCATATACATGAAATGAGTAAGCCTCAATGGGAGAAACCTGCATATTCAAGAAACAATAAATAAATTTATAATACTCCGCAATTATTTTATTTGAAATATTTTCAAAAGATCTGTAGAATATTATCATGCATATATTCCTTAAATAAAAGAACAAATAAAAATATCAGCAAAACTACAAAAGAAAATGTTTGCCCATTCAGTCAAATGTCTGCATATATTCCTTACTTGCAACAAAATAAAATTTAATGAATTTGAAATACCTGTAATAGCAACCCTTTCTTGTTATTTTCTCGCACCAAATTGTCTGCCCACTCTGTCAAATGTGAATCCATTTTAGCTGCCTCAGTTTGACGTTCATGGAACCACTTTTGAAGTATATTCATTCTTAAATACTCCATAAAATTGGTAATAGGTAGTTTACGTGCATTTCTGGTGATTGAGTTGAGACATTCGGCAATATTTGTTGTCATTAGGTTGTATCGCTTCCCATTGAAGTGTGCACGAGCCCACAACATTAAGATAATCACCCACTTTGGAATCAACATTAAATATTTGCTCTTCATATTCTGAGTCCTCAATTTCTGCATTTCCCAAGTCATTTTCTGAATCATGGTATTGATCATTATCTTCTAAATGAGCTTGAGTACCCAAGTTGAGTTCCATCGGCATTGGTTGATTGCTTCCACTTCCATAAGAAAATATTTTATGCTTCAATGTAATGCACAATGGAATCTTGTAAGTCCTTGAAAGACTTTCAAAAATAAAAGCTCTCATATCATCATCATCAACTATTTCTGCAGGCCATGCACTTTTCATTGCATCTTATATGACTTTCATAGTTATCTCATACTCATTTCAATCCACATTTACAATGTCATATACCTTATTCTGAAGCTCCTCTATTGTAATTTTATCTGAAACAAGTAGTCCTTTAGTTTTGCAATTTTTGTACGTTGAGTTAACCCACTTTCCATCGTAGTTAATCAAAATTGTCAAACTAGACATTATCCTGAAAGGTAAACCAACATAATAAATAATACAATACACATTGAGAAAACATTGTTCAAACCAAATATATATATATATAGTTATGTCAGAATAGCATATCAGTAATCATGTGCAATTTGGGTCTACCACAGGAGAAACACTCACAACACCCACGAAACACAAGAAACATATTTACAGAGAGGAAATTTCCAATTATTTCTGCTAGGGGATGGATTTGCTTGGATCATTGTAAAGTACTTTCTACTCTCTGGCCAATCCCAATGGGCAACATGTCTGTATAGCCTCAACACTCCCTAATTTAACTTACAATGATCCAGCAGACCCAAATTGGAAAAAAAAAAATTCATCCAAATCGAAAAAGAAATACAATTAATAAGTTCTTTATCTTCAAATCCAATCCAACAAACAAAATTAATAAGTTGAATAAACTATTTCAAGTGGCCAACAGAAAACCATGGAATTAAAACAAAGATGGTAGGAGAGAGAGAAAGAAAAGCAAACTTGGGATTACATATCGGTAAGTTGAATTAGGGAGTGTTGGAATTGCTTCAGACCAAGACTATAGACGTGCGTGCTCAGCAGTAGTTCCACCAAAGGCTACAGAAGTGTGTGCGAATCCAAATTTTGTGTAATAGAGTTTTGCTTTTAAGATTTATGTGGTGGGTTTTAATTTTTAAGGGTATTTGTGTCTATTTAGGTGAGTTTTTGGCTATATTTGAAAGATTTTATAAAAACTGACATTTTTGAAAGTGAGGGGTAAATTTTGGCTATTTTTTATAAAAACTCAATTAATTATAGAGGTTAATTACTCTCAACTTTCATTTTGCTTCCTATGTTAAGACTCAAAATTCTACATTGGAAATATAGCATACTCTAGAATGATTTAAGAGTTCTTAGACACATTTCTCTTACAAGCCGGTTTTTAATGACAAATTCTACACATAGGCTCTTAACAAGTGGTATAGGGGTCTGATTTCGCAACGCAAGTGGGGGCAACCTATGAGCTGAATTAAGAGCTCGTGGACACCGCCAGTTTTCAGAGAGATTCTACCTATGAGCTGAATTAAGAGCTCAAAGGCCAAGCGCAAGGCAAAGAAAGCAATCTAAATAATCTCTAAAAGTCCTACTACCCAACCACTTATCATGGACTCTACTTTTTATTTGTGAAAAAGAATCATGGACTCTATTCTTATATGGACCCAGACTATGCATCATAGAACTATAGGCCCAATATCTTTACAATTTCCTTTTCAAAGAACTAATTTCTTTGAATATTTATCAGCGGTCGGTTCTTTTTAATTTGTTGGCTTTGTGATATAATTAAAAATTAAGCTCAATCAACCGCTACTGGTTAAATCAGCGTACTATCATTACAAGAATAATTTAGGAGTAAAATTTAATTTATAAGCTATTTGAGTATTATCATAACATAACACAGATGACAAACTGCAGGCTTAGCTAATTTGCTAATTTGTTATAACTTATGACTTAGCCAACATGACATGATCCATGAATATTAAATTTATTTAATTGATTTAACTGTTAAGAATCATGGAAGGAAGAAAACAAAACATCTTCAAGTCCAAGGTATATTTATAAAAATCTCAATCACGGAGGAATCACTGTCCTTGGTTTTGAATCAAAACAAATTGTCTCCCTCTATGTTTGTTGCGTGTCAATCTTTTATTTTTCCACTGACGACTGAAAATAAAGAATAATGATTTATATAAATTGAAAAATTAAAAAAAGCATACACCTTTGAAGTCAATGTTTGTTGAGAAATGAGACTGAAAATAGTAAAAATGTTAATTTAATGAAATTAAGTAAAAATATTATCTATATTTATGTTATGATGTCCTTA